AAAGGAGGGAGGGAGGGTCTTCAAGGAGGGGTGTCAGGGATGGGGCAGAGAGGGAGCAGACAGTGGATCCTAATCATTACAGACACTGTGCTGAGAACTCTTATCACCTCTCACTGAATCCTTACAGCAGCCCCAGGATGTGGGTATGCTCATTATCCCTGTTTTGCAGATGAGAAAACTGAAGTTCAGAGATGAAATGGCTTATCCATGGCCACTGAGCTGCAAAATGGCAGAGCCTGAGTGGGAGTCGGATCTCCTGACCATCTACTCAGTTCTTACAAATCAAACGTTTGTTGGGGGGAGATAGAATGCTTGCAAAAGGAACTCTGTGTTTGTCAGCTTTGCTGCATAACAAAATCTTCCAAGCTCAGTGACTTGCAACAAATGTTTATTTCTTGTTCATTACAAGTGAAAATGCTGTGGGTAACCTGCAGGTCAGCTGTGGCTCAGCAAAGCTCTGTGAATTTTCTCAGTTTAAGGTCCAGGGTGAAGGTAGTCACTAACCAGGACATGCTGTGCTCTAACCAGAACTGAAAGAACTACGTAGTCAAATTTCAGCTTTCTGCTCAGAGATGGCACATGTTAGAACCGCACATACTCTGTCGACCAAAGCAAGTGACGTGGCCAAGCCCAATGTCAGTGGAGCAGGGAGGGTTATTATCTGTCCTCCCACAGTGAGAGGTGGAGGGTGCTAGAAGGGGAATAAATAGTTGCATGATACACTTGGCTGGGCCGCACTGGGCTCTGCAAACAGATGCCTGGGTCTGACTCCTATCTCTGTCACTTAATAGTTGTGGTCATATGGCCTTCAGCAAAGTGCTTGACCACACTGTGCCTCAGCTTTCTCATCCACAAGATGGGGATGATAATTATAGTCCTGCTTTAATTTGCTAGAGCTGCCATAACAAAATATCACAAACTCGGTGGCTTAAACGACAAAAATTTATTTTCTCACAAATCTGGAAGCTGGAAGCCCAAGATCAAGGTGTCTTCAGGGTTGGTTTCTGATGAGGGCTCTCTTTCTGGCTTGCAAATGGCTGCCTTCTAATTTGTCCTCACATGACTTTCTTCTGTGCATATGGTGAGAGTGTTTTCTGGCACCTCTTTTTTTTTTTTTTAATAGGAACATCAGTTCTAGCAGATTGTGGCCCCAGCATTATGATCTCATTTAACCTTATTATCTTCCTAAAGGTCTTATCTCCAAATACAGTCATCTTGAGGGTTAAGGCATCAACATATGAATTTGGTGGGGGTGTGGGGGACAGTTCAGTCCATAGCAAGGGCCAATTCTGCAGGGCTGTTGTGATGATTTAAATGGGTTAGGATAGTGTCTGGCCTACAGGCAAGCACTGAATAAGAGCTAGGCTGCTCTTAGTGCCCTGGTGGTAGCAGGCCCCACAGTATCATGATTGGGCATTCCCTGCAATGATAATGCCTCATTTGCTTTCTTTGTCCTTTGCAACCTCTCCCAATTCCTGGCATAAATGAGGTGACCAGGAAATGGATGCTTGTGTGCCCCAGTGAATCCTGAGGCAGTTGACAGAAGGCACGCAGGGTTTGAGGTGCCCTGGGCTGCACTCGCTGCTGTGTTGCTGACCTGCTTGGTGACTTTGGCCAAGCCGCCGTCTTCTGCCAGCCAGGATGCATCTCATTAAGACAAAGCTTGTTTTGTCCACAAAATCTCAGCAGATTTCATTTCCCCGTGGCCTTTTGTGGCTATTCCTAAGTATTGGGTAGTGTTCAGAGCCAAAGTGCTAGAGATTGGGTTTTTGTTGTTGTTGTTGTTTGTTTTTGTTTTTTGTTTTTTTCTTGAGACGGAGTTTCACTCTTATGACCCAGGTTGGAGCACAGTGGCGCAATCTTGGCTGTCTGCAACCTCCGCCTCCCTGCAACCTCTGCTTCCCAGGTTCAAGCGATTCTCCTGCCTCAGCCTCCCAAGTAGCTGGGATTACAGACGCCTGCCACCACACCTAGCTCATTTTCGTATTTTTAGTTGAGACAGGGTTTCACCATGTTGGCCAAGCTGGTCTTTGAACTCCTGACCTCAAGTGATCCGCCCACCTTGACTTTCCAAAGTGCTGGGATTACAGGCTGAGCCACTGCACTCGTCCAGAGAGATTGTTTCTTTTACAGAAATGTTCTTATAGATTCCAAATTGACAGTAATTCTCCAAACCCTCTCCCACAGCTACTGCTCCCCACCTTAAGACAGCACCTAATGACCCTGCCAGATAGGGCCAGGCTGGACAGGCATAGTAGAACTTACTCTCGCTGCCTGGGGCAGTGTCTGGGGCAGTTTCTGGGTTATGCCTAAGTGCACACACTTCCTTGGGGATGGGGGTGGGTGAGAACAGCCTTTGACCTGCAAACCTGGGTTCCAGTCCCCATTCTGCCCTTGCTCCCCTTAGTCCACCGAGCTGCTCAACCTCCGAGCTTTGGTTTCACTCTGTGTGTGATGGCGAGGCTGGAGCTACCCTAAGGGACTGCCATGGGGCTAAATAATGAATGTGAAAGGCCTTAACCCAGTGCCAGGCACACAGCAGGTCCCAGAAAAAGGATGTGCCATCCTCTCACTTTCTGTTTACCCCACCCGTCCTCATCCTTCACTGAGTGAGTGTTTTCCTGCTCTTGAGTAGCTACCCACAGACACAGAACCACCCAGGCTTAAGGCGACCTCTTGGGATTCCCTGGCAACACTGAGAAAGCCTGCGTGGATTTTTCTATCCTCGCTCGTGTTACCTTTCCCACATCTGGCCTTGCTTAGAAAGAACGATGTGTGAGGCTGTTTGTTTAGTAGAGAGCTCTGTTAGCTGAGGAGGGACAGATTAAAGGCCAAGCTTGTCCAAGTCCCCTTGCCTGGTGTGGCTCAGCCCGGCAGCGTTGGGAAGGAGAGCACCAGGTGAAAGTTCTTGGCGTCCTCCCAGCTCATTGCTAATTCGTTATTTGTATGATGACTGATGCAGTGCATTTTTGACCCTCTCAGTCTCAACTTCCTCATCAGGAAAACAGGAACAAAGATACCTTCTGTGAGATGTGCAGCATCTGGCCCAGAGTAGAAGGTGATGATGATGATGAAGATGATGATAGCTCAGCCCTTAGGGAGCATTGCTGACAGGCCAGGAATGCGTTAAGCACTTCATATTCCTTGACCCTCTTAATCTTCTTGGCAACCCTAGGAGGTGGGCACTATTATTCTTTTTCTTTACAGATGAGGAAACTGAGACACAGTGAGGTTAAGTGACTCCGGGCAGGATGTACAGCCAGTGAATGACAGGGCTAGGAATTGGACCCAGGCTGTCTTGCTCCATAGCCCCCGACCCTCATCACTGCCCTCAGACCCAGGTGACATCAATTATGTCAAGCTGTGTCTCCTCCCTACAACCTTCCCTGCACTGTTGCGGAAAAGGACACAAAGAGCAGGTGTTGCTTGTTCTGAAAAGTACTTACTTTTAATTAAACTAAAAACGTCCCTTTCGCGTTGTTTCTCTAGAGAGTCAGAGGCAGGGCAGCCCCTCCCTGGGCACCTGCTCCCTCCTTCAGGCCCCCGTGGGCCTCTCAGTGTGATATTAATGTCTGAAGGCCTCCGACTCATCCATTATTGATGGGGCATGGGTACACTGTGGGGAGAGGGTGAGATTGAGTCCCAGGCAGTCTTAACAGCTCAGGAAGTTCTTTTTATCCCTGTCCCTGGTGGAAAAGTGCATTACAGGTGACAGGCGCAAAAGCAGCTGTGACCGAAGCTACTGCCAGCTGTGGGTAGGGCATGATTATCACTTGTTATTGAGCACCCTCTTCTCATTCAGGATTTAGGAAAAAAATTACAGCAATGACAACATCACTTCTCTGATCTTGAGTCTTAAGTTCACGTCTCTCTGTTCCTTCACAAAATGCCTAGCTGTCTGTTTCCTGCCAGTTAGAAGAATATGCCAGGCCGGGCGCGGTGGCTCAAGCCTGTAATCCCAGCACTTTGGGAGGCCGAGACGGGCGGATCACGAGGTCAGGAGATCGAGACCATCCTGGCTAACACAGTGAAACCCCGTCTCTACTAAAAACACAAAAAACTAGCCGGGCGAGGTGGCGGGCGCCTGTAGTCCCCGCTACTCGGGAGGCTGAGGCAGGAGAATGGCGTAAACCCGGGAGGCGGAGCTTGCAGTGAGCTGAGATCCGGCCACTGCACTCCAGCCCGGGCAACAGAGCAAGACTCCGTCTCAAAAAAAAAAAAAAAAAAAAAAAAAAAGAAGAATATGCCAGACTCAGAACTACCTCCCGCCCCGGCCCAATGAGATCTGTGACCTGCCCCCAGCCCTGTTGTGAGTGCACACACTTCCTTGGGGTTGGGGGTGGGTGAGAACAGCCTTTGACCTGCAGACCTGGGTTCCAGTCCCCATTCTGCCCTTGCTCCCCTTAGTCCACTGAGCTGCTCAACCTCCGAGCTTTGGTTTCACTCTGTGTGTGATGGCGAGGCTGGAGCTACCCCAAGGGACTGCCATGGGGCTAAATAATGAATGTGAAAGGCCTTAACCCAGTGCCGGGCACACAGCAGGTCCCAGAAAAAGGATGTGCCATCCTCTCACTTTCTGTTTACTCCACCTGTGCTTATCCTTCAGGGTTTGAGCAAGATCCGCTTGTCCTGGCCCTCTTTGACTCATTCCTCCCCCATTTCGGTGTTTTGCACGTTGGTTAAAACTCTTTGGGGCAGGCTCTCCAAATTTAGTATTTTTACAACAGGAAGTGGTCTTAGAGCTCATGCAGCTCAGAGCTTTCTGTTTGCAGTTTGGGACAGGAAGCTTCTGCACGAAGGTCCCCTGGCTCCCGTCCAGTGCTCCTTAAGTGACTGTCTTCTTTCCCCACACTGAGTGCCTTGAAAGGGCTCAGAGGCTTCATGTGAGCACTTAGCATTTAGTGTGTATATCTGAGCCAAGCAGGGACAGAAACTGTCTCGCCGATCCTCACGCCCTCTCCCCATGTTCAGTGTCCTGAGTATTTTCTTCTATTTTTCAGATGAAGAAACTGAGACTCAGAGAAGTTAAGAGACTCCATTGAGGTCACACAGCCGGTAAGTGGCAGAGCTGGGATTCGAACCCAGCTCTCTTTCACTCCAGAGCCTGTGCTCTAAATTGCCTTGCTTTCTTTGCCTTAAAATGGGGAGCCTGCGACTTTGTTTTCTGTTTTGATGGTGCTCACACAGATTCCTGGATTGAAAGGAGAGGGCCCCTGGGTCCAAGAATTCAGAAGGGTGGTGGCGTTTGAGAAAAACAACCCCATTCCCAGTGGATGCCGTGGCTGGGACAAACCCAGAGCTTCAGCACACCCGGGTTCAGGATCGAGCCCACTGTGGCCAGCAGGGTCCTGGGTCCATTCTCCCAGGAAGGTTGCTCCAAGGCCCCAGGATCTGTAGGAACCAGACCCCTGGAACCCCACAGCAGGGCCCAGGTGCCTCTTTGTGTGCTGTGTGCCTCATGTTCTGCCTCAACCACAGAGGAGCCCGGCAGGCAGGACTCAGTCTCACTCAGCACCACTCTGGATGGTTGCATAGTTACACGGTGTGGTTTGTAGTATTTTTGGTTTTGTTGTTTTTGCAAAAGCCAAAGGAAGTCTGTGGGCTGAGTTCTACCTTCCCTTCTTTGAGGATAGTTGGCCTGCTCAGTCAAGGGCAAGCAGAGCTCAGCTAGGGGAAAAAACAAAAACAAAACAAAAAACAAAAAAACCCTCCAAACACAAAGTTCACAGATCAGAGGGCACCTGACCTAGCCAGACAGTGGCACTGGCTTGTTCATGGGCAGGGCTCATTGGAAGGTCCGTTACAATCATCCCATTTTCCAGATGAGGACACTGAGGCCCAGAAACAACCACACCCTCACCTCTTGGGAGGCACAAATCAGAATGAATCTTTGCTCCCTGAGTGCTGAGTGCTTTGCTGTTTCACAGCTCGCTGTCCCTGCAGTCCACACATACTCATTGAGGGCCTACTGCTGCTCCCCAGCAGGCACACAGCAGTCGGAGTCGGATGAACTGCCTGCCTCCTGGTGGGGGAAGACAGAGAGACAGACATTCAGTCCACTGTCCAGTGCTAGTTCCTGATGACGGCTGTGAAGGGGAATGCCACAGAACAAGTGGCACAGACAGCGATGCTATTTTAGGGTGATCAGGCAAGGCTTCTCCAAGGAGGGCATTTGGACAGAACCGTGAATGCAGTGAGTGAGCAAGCCATATGAATTCTGGGGTAGGAACAGTATTGGTAGAGGGAACAGCAGGTGCAAAGGCCCTGAGGCAGAGAGTATGCTTGATGTACCATCACGCTCTTTGAGTTTGATTCTCTGGGTGTTTGCTACCCCACCCCCCACCACCATCACAGTGGCTGCTCACCTCTAATATCCCTTCCTTAGTCACCTCCAAGTGTCTGCAGGAGTGTGGCAGTGGGATGGGGGTTGTGTAGCAAGAAAAATCAAACAAAATTGCATGGGGCAGAAGAAAGGTGTATCTCTAATAGGAAACTACTTGTCTTAGTCCTTAATCCACTTTGCACAATTTCTGTCTTTGATGAAGCTTGCAATGGTTTCATCTTCTTGCTTTGTATGTATTCTCAAAATACCTTCTTTAACTAGAGCTGTGAGTTCTCAGCACACTGCAGTCCACTATATCAGGTCCGTCTTTCCAGGCAGAGCAGGAACCCGGATTCAAAAACCACAGAAAGAGGAGAAGAAATCGTTTTGGAAACTACACTGCTCACTGCTGACCTTGTGCTGAGCTCAGGGAGGGAGGTGCAGCAGGCAGACAGTGGCTGGGTGGGGTGCAGTGGCTGACAGACCTCCGGACCTCTGTCTGGGCACAGCCATTAGGCTCAGGCCCCTGTGTGTGGACTTAGGTCCCTCCTTCATCACAGGGTGGTGTTAGCACCAGCCGAGTTCCTGGGGGAGCAGTTCGTGGGGCTGGGTGTGCTGGAAGAGACATGCTGAGGAGTTAGGGACCCCAGGTTCTCTCTGACTTTGTTTTCTGTTTTGATTTTGCTCACATAGATTTATCAGTTGATAAAAAAGAAGGGCTCCTGGGTCCAAGAACTCGGAAGAGGGGTGGTATTTGGGAAAAATAGCCCCATCCCCGTTGGGTGCTGTGGCCTGGACAATCCCAGAGCGTCCACACACCAGCGTTCAGGATTGAGCCCATTATGGCCAGCAGAGGCCCCGGTCCCCATCCCAGGAAAGTTGCTCTGAGGCTCCAGGCTTTCTAGGAACCAGACCCCTGGGCTCCACAGCAGGGCCAGGTGCCTCTTCATGTGCTGTAGTCTCATCTTAGTGCCACCTCGGCCAGTGTACAACTTTGGGCAAGTCTCGCCCCCTCCTGGAGACTCTGAAAATGGAACAGAAAGGTGTGGTCATCTGTATGTTCCTGTGGTCTGGAAATGCTACAACCTTTTTGCCTCTAAGGCAGGTAGCAGCCAGGCATGGGGACTGGGCTTCTGTCAGCTCCCCTTTGATTCTGTAGACCTCTGGCTCTTAGCAAAGAGATGTCCTAGAAAGGGGGGCAGTACCTTGGTGATCCTGTCTTGGACATTTAGACCAGAGCTTCCGCCCATTCTCACCTCTCCTTGACCTGAGACCTGTGGCTGCAGAGCCAGAAGCTCATTTCCAGAAGCAGCAGAATGTCTCTGTTTCCACAGGGCTCAGAGGTATTTATTAAGCCTTCCATTAACTGCATCTTACTCAGCTGGAAAAATAATACTCAGAAAGCAATTCTGTCTGGTTTCTGGCCTGTAAAGCTCCTGAAGAGTTCTTGTAAGGAAGGCTCAAAAAACGCCTGTGCTGTGTGACTCGGAGCCCAGCCCTGTAGCTTCCCTCCAAGGAGCAGGCAGCTCAGTGGTTGACCAGCAAGCCCGTTATCATTCAGCACCATTGGGTCATCCATGTGTCTGCCTGTCAATTAAACAAGTGCTTATGAGGGGCCTGGGGCCAGGGGCACATACCGAGAGTACTAAGGCTAAATAAGACACAGCGCGTGCCCTCCACAGCAGTTCAGGCGCAACATGACCACTTTCTCTATTCGGTAAAACTCAGAGAGTTCTTGACTTTATTATTCGCAGTTCAAAAGCGGCGTGAGCTTTTGTGTCGGCTCCCCTTCACCCCCTAAGTGCCATAGTGGGCATGCAGAGGGCCCATATAGATGCCTGCACATGCAATGGGTTACGATATAGGACAGGAACACCAAGCTTGGGGGATCCACCATCTTGTGACAGACAGCGAGCAAGCCAGCTTTTTGTCCCAGAGGGAGACATTACCGCATGTCTCAGGATTGGCTGCTGCAAATGCAAGCCAGGTACAGAGCAGTCAGAGCCTTGCATTCTTTGTCTACCCAGCAAGATGTGTAGGAATGCAAGAAACTCATGGAGGAACGTCTGCAAACAATGCATTAGCATTGCACATATCTGGATCTGAATCCTACCTCTAACAATTTAACTAAGTGTTCAATTGGGTAAATTGCAATCACTGGACTTCTCAGCCTCAGTTTCCTCTTCTATAAAATGGGGATAATGCCTACTTTCCAGGTGATTGTGAAAGAGAGTGTAGGGTCACTCCTCTGGGAATACAGTAGGGAACTAAGAAAGCCCTTGAGTTCAAGAAACTTAGTTGCTTGGGGAATCCTTTCAGCTATATGTAAGTATGCAATGTCAGTTAGTCATGTGTGTGGCTTATGCCTGTAATCCCAGCACTTTGGGAGGCTGAGGCAGGCAGATCACAAGGTCAGGAGATGGAGACCATCTTGGCTAACATGGTGAAACCCTGTCTCTACTAAAAATACAAACAATTAGCTGGGTGTGGTGGCACATGCCTGTAGTCCCAGCTACTCGGGAGGCTGAAGGAGAAAAATCGCTTGAACCCAGGAGGTAGAGGTTGTAGTGAGCCAAGATCATGCCACTGCACTCCAGCCTGGGCGACAGAGTGAGACTCTATCTCAAAAAAATAAAATAAAAATAAAAGAATAGAGGAAAAAATGCAGAGGCCGATACATATCATGGTTCAGGGACAGTTTCTGCAAGGATTTGCCATTTGACCCAGCATCCTGAATTGAGTAAAGGAATGACCTTACTACCTGTGGGAAGAGCATTCTGGGCAGAACAGATAGCCTGTGTGTAGGTCCTATGCTTGGCCTGCTTGAGGGATAGCGTGGAAGATGATGCAACTCTGCAGAGTGAACAAGGAAAAGGCATGGAAAATGGAATCAGAGAGTAGGCAGGGACCAGTTCATGTAGGATCTTGCAGGCCTTGATGAGAGCCTTGGATTGCATTGTGGGTGTGGAGAGGACCCACTGAAGGCTTCAGGTAGGTGGGGGCAGGAGGAGAAAATGGCATGGAGGAGGCCGGGAGAGGCTGCAAGGTCTGGGATTTGCTTTTATCCTGCTGCTACTAACAAGTTAGCCTGTTAGTGTTTCACGGATCCTGGCAGAAGACGTGAGATTCCTGGGTCAGGAGTGTTGTAAAGTAGGAAAGATCTGACTGCTTTTTGTGCACAAAGCCTGAGCTCAGAATGAACTCTTCTGAGTTTGAAGGGGAATGATAACTCAGTCAATACTCCCAGAAGCTGAGCCTCAGCCCACAAATAGGAATGAGATTCTTGGAACAGATTCCAGGACACAGCGTATCAGAAGGCTCTTGTTCTGTCTCAGCCTCCACGTCTTACCTGTAAAATAGGGAGAACATTGCTTCCCAGGCATATTGTGGGGCCTTGTAGATAGAAATTGAATCTGAAGACTTATTCTCCGAGTTAATAAGAAACAGCAAATTCTTCCTAATAATGTATCCTTCTAGGTTTTTGATGATCCCTTTTCTTCACTGAGAAGCTATTAAATGTTTCTATGTAGCTCTAGTGCACAACACACACACTCTCAGACATGCTTGCAAAGTTTGCCTGCCAGTGTCTTCCTGGATAAAGGATGGTGTTGGTCATTTAGGGGACAAGCAGAGAGAAGAAGGTGAAGAGTCAGAACCCCAGAGGGGCAAGAGAAAATAGCCAGGGCAGCCTCTTTGTTTCTTTTTTTCTTTTTTTTCTGATACAGAGTCTTGC